GTCTTTATGCGTCTCCAGTTTCTGTCCAACAGGGACAGGAAGTCCTGTTTCAGGTATTTTCAGGTGTTCTTAATGGTATTTTAGAGTTTCCTAATGATCAATAAGAGTAGTTGATTCATCCTGCACTTGGGGGTGTATACTAGAGTGTATAGTGTGGAGTGTTTCTGAGGGCCAATGTGTTACAGACATCTATGGCCTCACTGATTACTGTACAACAGCATCATTCAGATTTCTTCTCTAAGTGAAACCCGTCTTTATAAGCGACCGCTACAGAACTGACACTCACTCTCTGAGGAGTCTGCAGACGTTCTCGTGGTACGACAGCTTCAGCGAGTCCATGACGAGTATACACGGCCTGGAAAAGACAAAGATATTAAGAAAACTGCAACCTGACCTGAGACACATCGAATCGAAATAAAACCAAAGTGTTGAGTTTGTAGGATCAGTTTCTTTGCTGACGACTCACCTCTTTAACACTCTGTCCCTGTGGCAGCCATGCTGGACGCACTCCTACAGAGACACATGTCCATGTTATATAGAAAACAACTTGTGCAAAGACCCATTTTAGAGTAGAGTCTGTCTGTATTTACCGGTTGCTGCTGTGATCTCAGACTGAGGGATGGTTTTCCTGCAGCTCGTTCGGATCCACCTGAGAACAAAACAATCTCTGCTTTAACCTTTTTTAACCAAACTAAATTGCTCCTATAGTGGGGTGTACTTAAAAACAATAAAGAGGCTCATTGAGGGAGATTTGACACAGACACGATGTATTCAGAGGAAAGCCCAGATCTGAAGGGAAAATAACAAGTTGAAAAAGAAAAATCAGACTGTTGGAGCATTCAATGGATTCTCTACGAGATGTCATTTCCATTCAGTTTTTCCTTTCTTTGTAAGCTTATTTACAGACAATAAGGATAAAAAGTCACACAATTCACACCAAATGTTGGAGCTTAGTGTCTTCAGAGAGGGAGATATTTATGTCTGGAACATGTAATCCTTTAATTTTTTGGTGTGAATTGATGTGTAATTCCCACATGCTGCCAGCGCCGCAAATACCCAAAAATGTCTCCCTGAAGGATGTTAAACAACATGTCTGGTGACGATTACAGAGGCTCTGTTAAACATTACGGAGGGTGCCAGAGACACTTTATTCTATGGAGGAAAATCAGAGAACAAACAGCAGCAGCTCACCTGTTGGGCTCTGAAAGTCCTCGTACTGGTCCTTCTCTAGACCCGGGAAACAGACCACCACCAGGTACCAGTGAGCTCTATGAACACAGAAAATACAAATACACATTAATGGTGTCATTAGTGCTGTTTCAGTTACATCTGGCTGATTTTTACTATAAAAGCCCTCCAGAAAAAGGGGGATGGAAGGCTTTTAATGTGAAACATCTGCAGGAAGTGTTCAGTATATTAACAGCGATTGAAAAAAAAAAAAGTAAAGTATAATTAGTTCACTAATGCCGAGTTCACACTACATGATTTTAGACAATTTTCTACTCTGCGACTATTTTGGGAGACAGCAGCTACAATGGAGGTGGAGCCAGCTGAGGAGACCCAATGTGAAGTTACTACAGAATACACTTTGAGGATTCTATTGATCAGAATACACTTTATGGATTCTATTGATCAGAATATTGATTGATTGTACATTTCATCACAGGAAAAGCTGCAAATTCAATCATCAACCAATAATCCAGGAAGAAGTGATGAAGGTATTTCTGAGTGAAGTTCTGCTGATTTGGGTAAAACAATAAAAGAGCAGAGAGAAGCAGCTCTGCTAAAGTCATTGAGAAGAGTCAGAAATGGTTGAGCAGAGGTGACTCCAGTCAGTCGGTCTGTTACCCAGTTGGCAGGTACACACAGTGATGAGGTGCTTGAATTAAAGTACAATTACGGTTTTTATTCAAACGTCTCAACAGAGGTCAAAACTCCAAACTGGCGTCTTTAAATCTGGGAACCCTGGAGTCAGGAGGTTTTATTATTTCTGGGCGGTCAGATAGGGTAAAGGCTCACTTCCACCTCCAGCTTTTACACTACACACAAACGCTCTCTTACTCTTGATTGACAGGCACAAACAGGAAGTCTTTGGTGAAAATGTCGACATGGCGGGTCCACGTCTTTACCCGCTGGTGCCTTGTGTGGCGGTCACTGAAAAAACAAAGAAAGAAGACATTTAATTATTGGAAACATTGGGATTAATATAATTGTTTTGTTATCAACCTCTTCTGAGCTGGAATGATCTAGAAACTCAATGACAGGAAATGATGTGCATTAACTACCATAGGTCCAACTGCTACCAAATCTTCTGTGGATCATCATCGAACGAAGATGACCAAAAGTTGCATAAAGCTTATTGATATCTTGTTTAGTTTTCAAGATATTGACCAATGAGCTGCAGAAGGGGTGATTATAAAGATTATAAATCAAAAATTGTCCAGTCATCGCAAAACTCACAGGATGCTGTGTAAAATTTTTGAACTCCAAACAGTCTGACCGGTATGGTCACTTGCAGTTATATTTATTAAGCCCTGAATGTTTTATAACAATCAATGAGTCAATAACATCACAGCTTTGTCTGAGTCGTGTTCTTACGGGACAGACAGGGCATCGTTCTCTCCGGCAGCTCTTCGTCTGCTCAGCTGTTTGTAGAAGAAACTGCTGAAGACGTGACTGCACTCAGCCACGGGGCCGCCGACTCCCTCCAGAAGGAGGTACCTGCAGGAGGAGGAGACGAGTCAGGATACAGACCGGCCCTATAAATATATTTCATGAACAAAACACTGAGTTTCAAATAAATTCTGAAAACTGACTTTATACCCAGAAATGATAAAGTGGTCAGATAATAATAAAAGAACGTCGTCTGCATAAGACATGTGTGGCTGCAGCGCTCCCTAAAATCTGGCATAATAACCACGATTAGTGCATTAAAATGTTTAAACTCATGATTTTTATGTCCCCGTTATTCTCGTCTGACAGACTGACTTGAGGTAGAAGTCGATGATGACGTCGTTAAGGAACTCGCCGCCGTCCAGACAAGCCAGGTCCTCCTTCGTCACCGTGATCCGGCCTTTACAGGGCGACGCCGGATACTGGATCAACCTGAAGGCCACATACGGAGGGCTCAGTCAGAGGACTTCTAGTGAACTCTTTTATTGTTTTATCTGCTGGTTGTTTACAGTCATCCTGGTTCTGGTTGTGTTGGTTTTACCTGGTGGGAAGCTGCTGCAGACCAGAAGACATCTTGTTTCTCTGGTTGTTTTTCAGCGGACTCGATTTCTCCTGAAACAGATTTACAACTGTTTATTTTTGTAGATTTTGGTGGAGGGGCGTTTATCCTCCTCTAGGAGTCACCTCATCAGCTCTGAGCCGCCGGCGCCTCCAGCTAACAGCTAACAGGCTCATAAAAAGGACGAATAAGGAGGAGGCAACAAAAAGGACACATCGGTGTAGCAAAGGAAGCAAAGGAGGGAAGTAGGCACAGAATGAAGGAAGGAAAGGAGGGAGGATGAGGAGTCTCACCGTGGAGTGTCCCAGCAGTCCGAGGAGGTGCTGGTCCAGAGGAGGAGGACAGCTGTGGAGGAGCAGCAGCCCGTCGGTCCACTCCAGAGGGGAGGTGGGTCTGCTAGAGGAGGAGGAACAGCCCCTCCTGTACTCCTCCATGTCCAGGATGGAGGCCAGCAGGGCGGCCTGGAGCTCCTGCAGCTGCTCCTTCAACACCAGCAGGAGGAAGGAGCACGATGGACCTGAAGAACCAGGAGAACAAAGAGGACGTTAGAGACTGGACCAGTTTTACCAGTTTTTATTAAACATATCAGCCCAGTTCACCCAGTCTCTGGCGGTATACTGGCCCAGTCTCTGGCCG